CGTTCAGCATGCTCCCGCTCCCAGATAAGGGCAAGCTCCTCGATCAGCTGCATGCCAGCGTCGGCGCGGACAATGTTCGGGAGGCGTGTGAAAAACTGTCGTATTCTGGTAAGTGGGAAGAAATTCCAATGAGACTGTGTCTCGGCACGGGCAAGCAATACCAGGCCGTGGACGAGGGCCCCGCCGACGACGAGCCTGACGGGGCACCGATGGCGCCCCGTGCTGCGCGCGGCGGACACGCCGCGAAGGTCGCAGTGGCGTGGTCGAACTATTACGAGACCTGCTACATGAGGCGGTGCCGTAGCTGCGGCGAGGGCGGACTCGCGTACAAGAGCCTCGAACTTGCGGGCGCTGCAGACGGTCGGGTCTGCGCGTACTGCAAGGAGTACGGCCGCCCAGACAAGGAGCATGGCATCGTGCATCCCAGCGGCCCAGCGAGGACATCCCAGACACCTGATCAGCTGGTGTCCAGGATTCCTGCGGGCAGCGGCCGCCTGCTTAAGTGCGGGCGGCGCGGCTACGCCACGGTGCGGCACGGACAGGGATCCTGCCGGCATATCAAGCGGTTCTGCGTAGTGTGCAATTCGAAGCAATTGCCGAGCATCAAGACGTGCCCGCGCTGCGGCGCGTGACCGTCTGCAGCGCCAATCGGCCAGCAGGCGGGGGCCCCATGGCCGAGCGAAAAACGTCCCCGCATTGCTGCCTGTAGTGGCGCGGTTTTTGGGTTGCCGCGCATGGATTTCAACGCATGGCCTGGGTCGTTATCGCAACGCTGCAGAACGCATCCATTTTGAGGAAAAGAAACGGTGCCGGGGAGGCAGCAGCAACGCGTGTAGTATATCGGTGCTAGATGTTCGCCGTGCTGCGTTGCTTTGCGTTGCGCGGTCGTCGCATTGTCATGGCATTGCCTGTTGGGTTTTTGCATTGCCGGAGAAGTATCCGCACGGGAATGCGGAAGGAAGTTGTAGGGCGAAGAAAGGGGGAGGGGGATATTTGAGCAGGAGGGGGGAACTCCTCCCCTCTCCTCTCAGAGAGGGCGGTGGAGGAGGAGGATGAAGGGTAAAACGGGAGGGGGCGGAAGGAGGGGTGGGAGGAGGGGGGGGGGGGGGGGGGGGGGGGACTGCAGACGCCATCGGCGTGCAGCTGCGAGGGCCGCGGCCCGACCCAGTAGCAACACAGCGGGCGCTGTCGCCCGAGGAGGTGTGGGAGGACACCGAGGACGGAGGAGGAGGCAGGAAGAGAATGTTATAGAGTATTAGACATGGGAGGGGCGTGGGGGAGGAGAGGAGGAGGAGGAGCAGGGGGAGGAGGAGGAGGAGGAGGAGGTGGAGGCGGAGAGGTAAGGAGGAGGAAGGAGGAGGGGAGGAGGAGGAGGAGGAGGAGGAGGAGGGGGAGGAGGAGGAGGGGAGGGAGGAGGAGGAGAAGGAGGAGGGAGAGGAGGAGGGGAAGGATGGGGAGGAGGAGGAGGAGGAGGAAGAGGAGAAGGAGGATGCGGGAGGAGGCGGCGGAGGAGGAGGCGCTGCAACGCTATCGTCGAGCAGCGGCGAGGACGGCCGAAAGGTTGATCTCGTTGCGGTCGCTGCAGGAGGAGGGCCCGATGCAAGCAACTGTGGCACTTGGGATTGGTTTGTAATAGTGAAGATGATGACGGTTATGATGACGGTCATGGCGGTGGTGGTGATGATGGTCATGGTATGAATGATGATGATGGTAATGACGATGAGTATCATGATGATAGCGATGATGATGGTGGTATTGATGATAAGGATGATGCTGATGATGGCGATGATGACGAAGATGAGGCTGGCGATGATGATGATAATGGTGGCGGTGATAATGATGAGTGTATATTGGCGCCTTATCTCACGGCCGGTGCTGCCGACCCCGCCGACGACGATGAAGACGAGGAGGGGGAGAAGGAGGAGGAGGGGCCCTGCGTTGCTACTGGGTCGGAGGACTGTTCCCGACAGTAACTTCTCATGGTCATCATGATCCTCCTCCGCCCCCGCCCCTTTCGGACCCAGTAGCAACGCAGTGGTGGTCATATCGCACGTTCACTTCGAGGCCACGATGATGATGATGGGGATGATGTTAATAAAGACCAGGACGAGAATGATGATAATGATGACGATGATGATAGCGATGATGACGATGATGATGGTAATGCTGATGATGATGACGAGGATGATGATAATGATGATGACGATGATGATGGTGATGGTGATGATGACGATAATGATGATGATGATGATGATGATGAGGGCGACTATGGTGAAATGATGGCCATGATAATGAAAATGATGATGCTGATGAAGTTGATGATGACGATGGTGATGGCGGTGATGATGATAATTGTAGCTTGATGGCCTAACTTACCGCCGGTGCCGGATGGGCATGATTTGATGAAAACGTGGGTGATAATGATGATGGCGATGATGATAATGATGATGACGACGGTGATGGTAATGATGATGACGGTGATGATGATGAGGATGGCGACTCTGGTAATAGTGGCCATGGTAATGATGATGATGAACTTGATGATGATGGTGGTGGCGGTGATGATGACAAGTGTAATGTGGCTGCGTTGCCATTGCGTTCGCTCGTGTCGCTGCGCCCCCCTGTGTTGCTACTGGGTCGGAGGACTGTTCCCGACAGCAACTTCTTGGTCATCATGATCTTCCTCCTCCGCCCCCGCCTCTTTCGGACCCAGTAGCAACACAGTGGTGGCCATATCGCACTTTCAGTTCGAGGTCATAATGATGATGGGTATGCTTTTGATGAAGCCGAGGATGATGATGATGACGATGATGATGACGGTGATGATAGTAATGATGATGATGATGAGGAGGAGGATGACGACTATGGTGGTAATGATGGCCATGGTATTGATGATGGTGATGATGATGAATTTGATGATGATGATGGTGATGGCGGCGACAATGATGAGTGTAACTTAATGGCCTAACTTGCGGCCAGTGGCCAGATGGGGATGATTTTGATGAAGACGTGGATGATAATGATGATGATGACGATGATGACAATGATGGTGACGATGATGATGGTAATGGTGATGATGACGATGACGATGAGGATGACGACTATGGTGGTAATGATGGCCATGGTAATGATGATGATGAATTGTGATGACGATGATGACGATGGTGACGGCGGTGATGATGATAAGTGTAATGTGGCTGCGTTGCAATTGCGTTCGCTCGTGTCGCTGCGCCCCCCTGTGTTGCTACTGGGTCGGAGGACTGTTCCCGACGGCAACTTCTCATGGTCATCATGATCCTCCTCCGCCCCCGCCTCTTTCGGACCCAGTAGCAACGCAGTGGTGGCCATATCACACTTTCAATTCGAGGTCATGATGATGATGATGATGGGGATGCTTGTGATGAAGACGACGATGATGATGATGACGATGCTGATGATGACGGTGATGCTGGTAATGATGATGATGACGATGATGCTGAGGATGGCGACTATGGTGGTAGTGATGGACATGGTAATGATGATGATGCTGATGATGGTGAATTTGCTGATGGTGATGGCGGTGGCTGTGATGATGATAAGTGTAATGTGATGGCCTACTGGCCTTTTGGGTGCTCACTCGACCCCCCGTCTTTCAAGCTACAGGTGCAACCTAGGCGGCGCAATCTACATGGTGCAGGGTATGTGGTGCAACGTACATGGTGCAGAGTACGTGGTGCAAGCGGCGCCGTGCATGAGTCGCAACCTATGTGCGGCAAGCTATGTGGCGCAACTTATGCCAATCAATGACACGAAATTCAAGATAAGCGATCGTTTGCGTGCTTCTGTTCAAAGACGTGTGGCTCAAGCTCTTTGGCTGTACCGTTGGATTGCTGGTGGTTGCCCGACGAGGCTCGCGCCCGCTCGACCCGCGATGCCGTTGCTCATCGACGAGGCCATGGGCGCCTTGAAGGACAAGGACATGACCTACTCGGAGTTGGACGCGGCCGCCGTGTCCAGCAAGGCGGCGGGGGACATTGACGGGCCCATCGACGTCGGCACTTTTACCCGCGGTGCTCTGCGGAAGCTGGGCGAGGTGAGGGTGACCAGGTCTCTCTTCGACGTCGTGGAAGAGTTTCCGATGCCAGAGAATCTGGGCCAGGTCATGGAGCAGATCGCGGGGCAGACGTGCACCGACGTGCCGCCTGCTCTTCGCCCAGGCGCTGAGCTCCCCGAAGGCACCAAATACTCCGTTGTCGTTGGTGGCAACGGCAACGGCGCCGCCGTCGCCGTCAAGATCTACGCGTTCCAGAACCAGGTGCCTTTGAAGACCGCGCAGGAGCTCGTGATCGGGACTGGGTATGCTCCAATAGCGAGAAAAGGCCCATGGCTCCACAAGAAAACCCTGCAGTGGTTGCTTGATCGCATCCCTGGCCACCGCGTCGATTGGGCAAGCGTGGAGGAGAAACAACGGGCGAAACCGACAGACGGCGAAAAGAAGAGATGGGAGGCCACGGACGAGGAGCTCGAAGAGGGCATTGACTTCATCAACAAGCACGCGCCCGCCGTGAACGACATGAACCAGCAGTGGCTCTTCATTGAGAAGAACATCAAGCCGAGCAGCGGGTCCAAGATTGCGGGGTGGCCGTGGGCTAAAGTTGCTAACGCAGTGCACAACCGAGCGAAGGCAGCAACGGGGTGCGCCAAGGTTGAGCGCTCGTTCCCCCTGTGCGTGTTCGACTTGCACCCGCTGTGGCCAGAAGTGTTGCTTCCGTGCATCTTCCCGCTCCTATCGCAGTTTGGACTCCTCTTCTTTGGCTTGCCTGGCATCGGCAAGACGCCCACTTTCATCGTGCTCGCCATGGCCATGGGCCGCTACACTGCGGCGCGCTCGGGCGGTAATCTACCCCCTGGATGGCGCCGCAGCAAGTCGATGGACGGCTTCAAGTCCAGCCAGGGGACAGCGTCCGAGGGCACTCTCCTCGACGACCCTGGCATGTGGCAGCGCGGTGCTTGGCGGAGAATGAGTTCGATGAGAAGGGCGAACCGCCCGCGGATGACCGAACCATTATCACCGCGGCCGAGGCTGAGAAGCTGTTCATGAAGCCGTTCTCGGGGTGGAAGCAGGCGCATGTCCTCGCGGTGCTCAAGCGCGCCGTCGCGCGCGTCGCTGGTCGCCACTCCATGTGCCTTCGCTTTCCCAGCAGCGGCCCCGACAGCGGTGGTCCACCGCATCAGCTTCGACAACATCGAGAAGGACTGGTTGCGCGACAAGCAGTACTGGGGCAATGACAACAAGAAGTACTACAACCTCTACAAGCAGGGCATGGAGGTGTTCTACGACAACTTCGACGAGCAGTTGCAGAGGGAGCAGGACTTGATCGACCGTGCCGCGACCGCGCGCGGGGACAAGCTGGCCGACGCCTACATCGCCGAGTGCAACGAGTCCTTGCAGGCCAAGCTGCTCTCCGTCATGGAGTTGTCCTCCAGGCTGAGCGCGGCGCCGCCGCGCCCCGAGGCCGAGGCCAGCGACGGGGCCTCCATGCTCAGCGCGGCGCCGCCTAGCCCCGAGGCCGAGGCCAGCGGCGGGGCGATCGCTCTCCACGTGCGCCCAGATGGAGACGGGAGTTACGTGTTCCCGACGGGGCCGCCGGCACCGCGCACCAGCACCAAGCGCAGCCGGTGCCGCATCGACGGCGTGGGGGCGAGGGAGGTGCGTCCGAGGGGCTCCCCGCCGTCGCTTGTCGAGGGCCAGCCCGACATCCTGGCCGCGGAGCTGGGGGCGATGCTCGAGGCCGAGGGCTTGGCCACGCAGCCTGGCGTCGAGGCAAGCCCGCAGGCGTTGTCGCCGAGCAGTCCTCCGCTCTTCCCACCAGTAGGCATGGGGGAGGAGGATTGAGCAGCCATTGCATGAGCTCGGAGCGCGCCGCGGCCTGGGCCCCGCCGCGCGCCCGCGCGCAATCTACCTTCGAGATGCCCCGCTACTGGCCCATGCCAAGCTGACGACCAGGCGAGCAATGAAGTCATGGGGGGGGAGGGCGATTGTCGGCACGTGGCATTGGCTGGTAGCGAGGGCGGGCTCGGACATCTAGCGCATGACTTCGCAGCGGTGGTCGGGGCTGACCGCTCTCCGTCAGCGCGAGGGCTTTGTGGTCGCTCACGGGCCTGGCATCCTAGAGCTTTCTCGCAGGATGTACGTTCGGGGGCGAGGATCGGGGTCGCCTGGGTAGAATGAGAAACAAAATACACATAGGCTCCGCCGAGTCCGCCTACGCAGTGGTCACTGTGACCAGCAGCAGCACAGCGACACGAGCGAACGCAAGAGCAACGCAGTGAGGCGTGAGACCTCGAAGTAAAAATGCGATATGGCCACCGCTGTGTTGCTACTGGGTCCGAGAGAGGCGGGGGGGGAGGAGGGTCATGATGACCGTGAAAAGTTGCCGTCGGGAACGGCCCTCCGACCCAGTAGCAACACATGGGGGGGCGCAGCGACGCGAGCAAACGCAATTGCAACTCAGCGAGGCGTGATACCTCGAAGTAAAAGTGCGATATGACCACCACTGCGTTGCTACTGCGAGTCGCGAGATCACCAGGAGCGTTCGAGGCACAACCAAATCACACGTTTATGGTGTGGCCGCCCGCGCCTGCCCGAGGCATCTGGCGATTTCTTCGGCTCGAGCGCGCTGCGCTTGCCATCTCTGCAGGCGCCGCGGCCGCGCGGCGGCGGGGGCGCCCTTGGCCATGGCGCCGAGCAAGCGCCATCGCTGCAGCTGCTGCGGCAAGTCGGGGCACACCGTGGCGACGTGCCCGAGCCCTGGCGCCGCTGTCATCAAGAGTCTGAAGGCGAAGATCAGCCGCTTGGAGAAGACCAGCGCCAAGCCGAGGACGGGCCAGCTGAGGGCGAGCCAGCCGAAGTCGTTCAAGAAGTTGCGGCGCCAGCGCTCCAAGCTGTACTCGGCTGGCCACAGCGAGAAGCGCGCCATCGCGTTGCAGGCCAATTTGGAGAAGAAGACCTGTTCGCGCGGGGCCGAAGGCTCGGTTGCAGCCCGCGAGGAGCTGGTCCAAGCGGGCTTCCTCGCTCGGGCACCTCTTCGCTGCCCGACATGCGCGAGGGGATACCTTTCGGACGCCCCGTGCAGTCGGGCCAGGGGCGGTGCCACCAACAAGGACTTGCTCTACTTCCGCTGCAACGATTGGGGGTGCCACTGCTACCACAGCGTCATGAAGTTCTCGAAGATCCCGTACAAGCTGATCGGGCAATTGAGCTGCGTCCAGCTGAGGTCGCTCCTCGAATCCTATACGGACGCGGCGGGCCAGGGCAGCGCCAGCGCGCGGAAAGCTGCCAAGTTGGCATACTGCGGGTACAAAGTCGCGCACCGCCTGTACAGGTATCTGCGCGGCTTGGAGGCGGACGCAGGGGACAAGGAGAACGAGTCGATGCAGCTCGGCGGGGAGATCGAGCCCATCCGCAACATCGAGGGCGACGGCACGCTGGCCAGGAAGATCAGGGTGAGCAGCAAGAGCACGACGTGGCGGACCGAGATCGCAGAGGCGAAGAAGAGGACGATCGCATACCTGAGGCTGAAGGCATGCAGGGCGAAGAAGCGGTCCTGCAAGTTCGTGGAGCCCAAGCACTACATGGTCCACGTCCGCTACGTGGGGCTTTGTGAGCGAGGTGGCAGGGTGACCGTTGCCCCACTTCCTGTCCGCGTGGTGCCGCCTGGCACGGCGCCGCCGCCCGAGGCGCAGGACGAGGTTCTCAAGTCGGGCATCATGAACAGACTGGTGAGGAAGAAGAAGGTGTTCCTCTTCTCCGACGGCGCACTGGCCTGGCCCAAGATCGTCGAGCAGCAGAACAAGACAGGCCGCAACATCGCGCTGTCGGCGGTGGTGCACCAGAAGCGGCAGTACACGAAGCTCATTGCCAAGAAGAAGAGGGGGCAGTCCCGCCTGGCTGGCACGCAGGCAATGGACTCACGGTGGAAGTACATGAAGTCGTACATCCCGCGGACCCTGAAGGCAGCCAAGGGTCGCGCCGTGAACCCTGAGCTGCGCACATACATCACGTCGTGGCAGCGGAGGCAGGACTTGGCATGCACGGGCGCCGCGCTGTGGGAGAGCGTGGCCAGCCTGGTGGGGGCGTCGTAGCTGTGCGCAGGCCAACTTTAGACCGAGCGCCGCCTAGAGCTTCGGGGCTAGTTGTGCTGCGCGGGCGGGCTCGCCGCTACACGGGGCGGTAGCGGGGGTGGCGCGCGCGCCCCGCGCAGCATCGCTGGGCATTGAATTTGGACCGTTCGTGGCATAGCAGCACGCGCAGCCATAGATTCTATCGTCATCGTAGTCGTCGCGTCACATTTCGGGATGACGATCAAGGAAGAATGAAGATGCGATGGCGTCCGAAAGGCCCCAAGCGCCTCGGTTCAAATCCCCGTGGGTCCCCAGTGTCCTTGTTCCCTTGTTGGCAACAAGGACACTGGGGACCCACGTGTTCCTTGATGCCAACGCGCTGAGGCAGATCAAGGTCACAAAAACACTTGAAGTCTTAGCGGCCCCTCGAGGCTCACAAAGCTTCGGAGATCACCAGCGCGGTTCTTCTTAGATGCGCTCGGGGTCTTCGAATCTTTGTGATGCGCAGGGAATCGCAAAGATTTGCGGAATCTTTGTGGTTCGCAGGGGATCACAAAGATTTGCAGAATCTTTGTGATTCGCAGGGAATCACAACGATTCAAAGATCTCCAGCGCTGCATTTCGTGGCAATCTTTGTGACAGCCGAGGGCTTGATCGCAAAGATTGTGTGGAAAGGCTGCGCTCGGGATCTTTGAATCTTTATGATTCGCAGGGAATCACAAAGATTTGCGGAATCTTTGTGATTCGCAGGGGATCACAAATATTTGCAGAATCTTTGTGGTTCGCAGGGAATCACAAAGATTCAAAGATTCTCAGCGCTGCATTTCGTGGCAATCTTTGTGACAGCCGAGGGCTTGATCACAAAGATTGCGTGGAAAGGCTGCGCTCGGGATCTTTGAATCTTTGTGATTTGCAGGGGGTCGCAAAGATTTGCGGAATCTTTGGGATTCGCAGGGGGTCGCAAAGATTTGCGGAATCTTTGTGATTCGCAGGGGGCCACAAATATTCGGAGCACCGAGGGTTTCGGGGCCCAGCCCGGCACCTCCGAGGGTATCGCGGCGACGACGGCGGCGGCGCCGACGACGGCGGCGGAGGCCCCGCGCAAGCAACTGTGGCACTCGGGGCGGGGGGCCTGTCCTGAGCCAGCGACGGCAACGACGGCGACGGCGACCGCGAGGGCGGCGACGGCGATGGCGACGGCAACGACGACGAGGACAACGTCGACGACGATGAGAGGCAGGGCGTTTCCTTGGAAGGCCGCCGGTCGGAGCGACGCGGCAGGCAAGAGCGTCGGCATCGTCGTTGCCTGCGGGCCCGAACTATTGCTTCGCAAGGAGCGACGCCTGCCTCCGAATGCGGAGCACCAGACTCCGCCAGGCCGCCTCGAATCCGTTGGCTGCCCTTTGTCTTGAATATCGGCCGTCGCGGCGTCCGACGCTCTTGGGCGCGTCCACTGCGTTGCTACTGGGTCCGAAAAAGGCGGGGGAGGAGGAGGGGGGGGAGGAAGAGGATGACCATGAGAAGTTGCTGTCGGGAACAGTCCTCCGACCCAGTAGCAACGCATGGGGGGCGCAGCGACAGGAACGAACGCAATTGCAACACAGCGAGGCGTGAGACCTCGAAGTAAAACTGCAATATGGCCACCGCTGCGTTGCTACTGGGTCCGAGAGAGGCGGGGGAGGAAGAGGGCCATGATGACCATGAAAAGTTGCCGTCGGGAACAGCCCTCCGACCCAGTAGCAACACAGGGGGGGCGCAGCGACACGAGCGAACGCAATTGCAACACAGCGAGGCGTGAGACCTCGAAGTAAAAGTGCGATATGGCCACCACTGCGTTGCTACGGGGCCCAGAAGAGGCGGAGGAGGGACGAGGAAAACCATGATGACAATGAGAAGTTGCACTCAGGAACAGCCTACCGACCCAGTAGCAACACAGGGGGGGGAGCCAAACATCGGATACAGTCAACGCGCATGGTAAGGACGCGCGCCTTTACCTAGGGTACCCTTGGATCCCTTGCGTCTTCACCGCGCGCCCTTACCGCACGGTAAGGACACGCGTCCCAAATGCCCCAACTTCGGCCTCCAAGGGTCTTGCGTCCTTACCGCGCGTCCTTATGAGTCGACAGAGTCGGTTACGTGTAGGACTGGAGAACGACTGCCTTCTGTGTTGCCTCCCATCGCCTTCTCTCCCTCCTCCTCTTCCTCCTCTTCGGCTCCTAGTCGTAGTAGTAGAAGTAGTACCAGTAGGATCAGTTGTAGTACTGGTCGTGGTAGTAGCAGTAGTAGTAGTAGTAGTAGTAATAGTAGTAGTAGTAGTAGTAGTAGTAGTAGTAGTAGTAGTCGTAGCAATAGTAGTAGTAGTAGTAGTAGTAGTAGTAGTAGGAGTAGGAGTAGGAGTAGGAGTAGGAGTAGTAGTAGTAGTAGTAGTAGTACTACTTACTACTACTAGTAGTTTAGTATAGGTAGTAGTTATTTACTGCGTTAGTAGATAGTAGTAGTAGTAGATAGTAGTAGTAGTAGTAGTAAGTAGTAATAGTAGTAGTAGTAGTAGTAGTAGTAGTAGTAGTAGTGACAGTAGTAGCAGTAGTCGTAGTAGTAGTAGTAGTAGTAGTAGTAGTAGTAGTAGTAGTAGTAGTCGTAGTAGTAGTCGTAGTACTAACAGTAGTAGTAGTAGTAGTAGTAGTAGTAGTAGTAGTAGTAGTAGTAGTAGTAGTAGTAGTAGTAGTAGTAGTAGTAGTAGTAGTTCGGGCCCCCCCTCCTGGTCAGAGTCGT